CAATAGTGGACTTCGAAACTTGTCATGCACACCACAATGATTGAGTTCTTAATGATCGATGCCAATTCTACCAATTTTTTTACTTACCCACAATGCATTAATGTTGTGAAATACTGCAAGCCTGTGGTTCAAATTGATGGGACATTATTGTATGGAAAATACAAGCAAGTTTTGTTATTTGCAATTTTCCAAGATGATAATCGTAACATTCTTCCAGTTGTTTTTGCCCTTGTTGAAGGAAAAGATAGAAATTCTTAGGCTTTTTCCTAAAAAACTTACGCTTACATGTTGTCACAAGGAAAACATCTGTGCATTTCAGATTGTAGAGCTGGGATAAAAGCAGTAATAGAGTCTTTGGGTCCAATGTGGCAACCACCCTATATTCAACATCGGTACTATATCCGACATATTACAACAAATTATTATGGAAAGTTCAAGAAGAATTATGAGCTCTAATTACTTGTGCGCATGAGTATGTCACAATGTCTAATTTCATTTCTTAATCATTTTCATTTTTTATGAAAACTTAACAGTAAGTACTACATTTGACGCCTAGGTTATGAACTATTACCTCAAACGTTTAAGTCAATTCTTCAAGTTTTGCGATGAAAAATGAACAATAGTACAATTACATCAACCTCATCAAAAAAGAAATGTGGACAAATGTATACGATGGTGGATATTGATATGGACACATGAAGACCAACTTGGTTGAGGCTATCAATCTAACTTTGAAGGAGTCGCGCTATTTTCCAGTAACAACTTTAGTTAAAATAACTTATTTTCGTTTGGGAGTACCTTTTGCAAAACTCGGGGGATAAGCTCTAACTTGGATGCAAAACGGTCATACTTATCACCCAATATTAGTTGCAAATCTACAAAAAAGAATTTTGCATAAAATGGAATGTCTGTAACAAGTTTCTCTCGAACCCATGAATTATTTCTTGTCAGAGAAATGCCATAACTTCTTCAAGGATTTAAGCTAACTCGTTCAGAGTTAATATACAAGACAAGTTGTGTGACTGTGGGTTTTTCAAGCTCTAAAATATCCATGCTCCCATGTCATTGCAGATTGCTCTTATACCCGTCAAGACTATAATCATTTCATAGATCTCGTATATCGACTTTCAGAAGTTTTTAAGGTATATGAATTTAAGTTCCCCCTATAAGTAATGAGAATGACCTATATGAGGTTCAGAATTGGCTTCCTATTATATCAGATTTGTCCTTATTAAGGGGGAGACAGGTCGTCTAAAATCCACTCGAATTCATTATGATATGGATATTCGAGAAACGATCAAATAAAACAAAAGATGTGGGTATTGTAGAAACCTATGTCATAATAAGAAAAAATGAACATCTCTTTTATCATCACGTAACCATTGATGTTGTGACGATGTAATTGTTGTTTATAAAGCCTCAGTTTGTGTTATTTTATTTTCGTTTACTTTTAATTAATGGGTTACTCAAGTGATGGCTATTCAAGTGAAAATTAAATAAAAATATTACAAACTAAATTATAAAAATAATAAATTAGAAACATTAAATACAAACTTTATAATTCAAACAATTAAAAAATAAAAAAAATAAGAAAAAATAAATAAAAAGTCCATAATTAAATAAAAACATTAAGAAACAAAATAAATAAAAAGTTAATAATTAAATAAAATCATTAAGAAACAAATAAATAAAAAACAAGTCTATCAATGTTTGCGTCTTGAATGTGTTCCACATGGCGGTGGCTATCTATTTCGATGAGGATTTATTCGTATAAGTTGCTCTTTCTCTTTACTCTCACCATCATCATCATCAACAACAACATCAGTAGCAACTACATTTTGTTAATAAGGAATGAATAACGATGAATGTGAAAACTGAACCGAATGTATTTGTGTCTCTAGTGAAGCATCATCTGCCAAATAAGCAACTTATAAAGACCACGCTGGATCTATAAGAATGGGAGTATATCCGCCAGGAGGTGTCATAAAATCATATCGTTGTGGCATATAAAATGGTTGCAGTGGCAACGGAAATAGTTGTGGTGATATCTAAAACGACTGCAGAATATAAATCGATGGCTAATATGATGGTTATGTTACTGCAGTTAAGGACGAGCCGAAAGTGCCTACTCTCTATCCACGAGTCAGGGGATGATGATACTGTGACGATATATGTTTTTATTGATGTCGACGAATGTTCTCGCCTCGTGCTTCCTCAAAAAGTATGAACCACTTTCTGTTCGTATTGAACCACTGATAATAGTTATTCGCGACCAAATAATGATCCATATAAATCGGCTCCCTACGAGGAATGCGTCCACATCGATCCTACCAGATCATTACCCATTCGTTGTGTTTCATCAGTCAGTTGAGTTCTTTTTTCTCTGTCTGTCGATGTTATGCATATTGTCGAGATTCCTAGGTGCTTCAGAAATTATATTGTACTAAACCAAATTAGCGGAACACATGATCAATAGGATGTCACTCGGCAATATCATAATATATCAAAGGGACCACCGCCATCCATACATCTAATGGGTCTCTCAAGTGAGATGAGATGCAACGTCTCATTTCTTCAGTAGAATAAGGAGCCCATTGAAACTAAAACAAATATATATAATTCTTATCAAAATAATATTCTAATTATATAACGATAATTAAAGGTAAATAATAAAATTTAAATACATACCTCTGTACCAACCTTTTGATCAATGAGCAACCGAATCTTTTCCATTTTGTCTGGTATATCACATTAATCTTTCCTTATAGATGCCACCTATTAAGTGTAAAAAAATCATTATATACTCAAAAAATATTTATATACAAACTCAATATTGAAATTATCTCAACAATAACGGGAAAACTAACGAGTTTTTCACGACCGGACATAAAAAGGGAATGTGATCCCACGCCCATGATTGCAGAAGAAGGAGACATTCGCTGATAGCATTTTTTTATAATCAGCTGCTCAACACATTTCTCTATATAGAGATGCCAAGACCACGGAGCCCCAACTGAATGATTTGAACACTCAAAAATCTACATGATAACACAACCACATACAATGAACTTGATTACGAAATTTATCAGGCATCAAAGATCTCTACTATGAGTTGCAATATGCATGACATGGCAAATATTTTAGCCTGTTCCTCGGAACAGTCATCGCTCAACCATCGAAAATTTCTAGCCAATCATGATAACGATATTCAACCACCGTTGAAATTAGGTGGGATACCTCCAAGATAATCCTCGCACAAGAAATGCCAATCACCATCTGCCACACTAAAAATAACATCTCATCTACTAGAAGTCCCAAATGTAAGGAAACATCATCCAGCATAATAGTTTACTCCCCACACAGAATATGAAATGTGTGTGTCTATGGTCTTCACCTCTCAATCAGTGCAGAAAAAAGTTGGATTCAAGGTTATAGTGCCCTTCATATTTCATTACATAACTGAATCCAACCTCAGCTAAATAAGGTCAAACACGACTCAGTGTTTCTAATTTAGTATTACAAAAAATGGATCTAATATACAATTATTCACCTAATTTATTCCTAATTAAATAAATAGTATACCAATTAAAATATAAACTAATACTAAAAAATAAATGAATAAAAATTCACAATAAATAAAATAACTGAATTTAAAATTATTACCGTATCGACAAAATGACTCGATATATGATTCTCATCTAAACGCAGTAACCCGTTTGTCATTTTATAATTGTAAAAAGTAATAAAAAATTACTACAATAAATATAATAAAATAATAAACTATTAAATAATTATAATATAATAAAAAACTAACTTCTAAAAATGATAACTATACTTACTTATAACTTGATAGAACGATATATAAAATAAAAAATAGAGTGTTTTTTGTATGGTATGAGTATTGGATGATGGTTATATTTATAGGGGTGAGGACAGGGGTTGCACGGTATTTAAGGTAAGATGGATGAGATTTAAAGTAAATGTGCGCTTTATGATTCATGCTTTTCCACCATGGCACCAATTCGGACAAAACTCTGCGAAGGTATGCCTCAGGATCTGTTCTTTGTCAGAAATAGTACTAGATCGATAATATTCAGAGAAAGAGTGTATGACAGGTAATATTTAATTGTTAGGGGTTATTTTTGGGTAAAATTACTGAAAACAAAATCCCCCTTTAATCAACATTTTCCATCATTAATTATTACATTGTTGACATGACATGCCATAATGACTAATAACGTGACAGATGGTATGACAAAATGGTTAAATTATTTTTTTGATTTTGTTCAAGGGTAAAATTGTTTTTTTAAGTTTAAGGACTTATTTAATTTTTTTAAAAATAAAAATTATATTTAAAATTTTAAAAATTATTTAAATATTCAAAAACAATATAAAAAATAATAAATTAAATTAATAAAAAATGTATATACATATTGAAAATACTAGAACTATTATTTATTGAATATTAAATAAATTTATATTTATTATTTAAAATGTTTTTAAAAAAATAAATAAGTACTTTAACTTTTTTTTAAAAATAATTTGGCACTCGAACAAAATCAAAAAATCAATTTGATCCATCTGTCACATCATTAGTTATTGTAGATCACTATGTTAACACCATGAACTATTATATCAGTACCGTAATGATCAACAAAGAAAATATTAATTAAAAAATCACGTCATATTTATTTTATGAGTTGAAGAATCATATTAAGAGGAAAAACAATAAGCATACCACCTTGATTTTTCTAAAAAAATATATGGGCCTGTGGTGTCTTGCCTTATTATTATTATTATAAATTTTATCTTTTTTTTTATTTGAGTATTTGTTTGTATGAATATAGATAGCTTGCCCAAGGCAATGGGTAATTCCCAAGTGGGATGTAGCCTCATTTCCAGTGACTTTCCTGGATAATAAACCAAATATTTCCAAATTTTATGCTCTATATATTTCTATATTCCTGGCCTATGGTTATTAATCTCTCATCCTCTTCACAAATCCTACAGACTCACTCTTCTTGCTGTATATTGTAAAGTGCGGTGATGGAATCCGCTTGGGTGAATACGACGCTGGATCTCAACGTTAACCCTTTTTTTCATACCAATCAAGCTCCGGTGAGTTCGGGTTATCATCACTTGGGGAGAAAAATATTTGATTTTTTGTTGCTTTAGATTAGTGGGCTTATAAAAGCTTGTGAGTTTTTTGAAACAGAAGAGAGAAGCCGATGGGAAAATGGCCGACTTTGAAGTGAAATCCCCAATTAAACAAGAGGTCAGTTTCTGGATAAGTTCGATCGTCTTTGAAAACTTAAAATTGGATGTTTCGATACTCATCTTTGTTTGTAATTGCAGCAGATTGGAATTTTGGTGGAAGAACTGAACCGAGTTAGCGCCGAGAACAAGAAGCTAACCGAGATGCTAACGGCTTTATGCGAGCACTACGCGACTTTGCAAAAACAATACGAGGAACTGGTGAGTAAGAACACTGAAACTGGATCTTCAAAGAAGAGGAAAGCCGAATGTGAAGATTACAGTACCGCCGTGATTGGCTTCACTACAAACGCCGAGAGCAGCTGTAGTATTGAAAATTCATGCAAAAAGCCCAAGGAGTGCATTAATGGCAAAATTTCAAGAGCCTGCGTGCGCGCAGATCCTTGTGATAACAGCCTGGTAAGTCCCAATTCCGTTGCCAGATGAAATTAACGAGGCGTCGAGAGTATTAGTGATTCTGAAAAATTGGTTTGTGTTACAGATTGTGAGAGATGGATATCAATGGAGAAAATATGGTCAAAAGGTCACAAGAGATAACCCGTCCCCCAGGGCTTACTTCAAGTGCTCCTTTGCCCCAAGTTGTCCGGTGAAGAAAAAGGTGCAAAGAAGTGCTGAAGATCCATCCATCTTGGTTGCTACCTATGAAGGAGAGCACAACCATACACACCATTCTCCGTCTGCATTATCGTCGTTGAGCCCCGTTAATAGCGGTGCCGCCACCGCCAACAACTCTCGCTCAGCTCGTGTCTCTTCTTCTTCATCGGCTCCCGCTGTAACTGTGGACTTGACGAAACCAGCTGGATCGGATGATGATACCAAAAAACCTACCCAAAAGGTTGATCAACCGGCGATTCAACAGATTTTGGTTCAACAAATAGCGGCTTCTTTGACTAGGGACCCCAATTTCACGGCGGCACTTGCTGCAGCCATTTCTGGAAAAGTTGTAGACCAGAAGTTGTGAGATTCAACAAACTTGGGGAGAACATACCATGGTTCTGTACTTTTTCTTTTTTGTTGAAATTGGTAGAGAGAGTTTGAATTGAAATGATGTAAATAGAATATTGAATCTAATATATATATATATATATATTATATATAAACTAAAACAGGTACAGACTCACTCTTCTGCTGTATATTGTAAGTGCGGTGATGGAATCCCTTGGGTGAATACGACGCTGGATCTCACGTTAACCCTTTTTTTCATACCAATCAAGCTCCGGTGAGTTCGGGTTATCATCACTTGGGGAAAATATTTGATTTTTTGTTGCTTTAGATTAGTGGGCTTATAAAAGCTTGTGATTTTTTGAAACAGAAGAGAGAAGCCGATGGGAAAATGGCCGACTTTGAAGTGAAATCCCCAATTAAACAAGAGTCAGTTTCTGGATAATTCGATCGTCTTTGAAAACTTAAAATTGGATGTTTCGATACTCATCTTTGTTTGTAATTGCAGCAGATTGAATTTTGGTGGAAGAACTGAACCGAGTTAGCGCCGAGAACAAGAAGCTAACCGAGATGCTAACGGCTTTATGCGAGCACTACGCGACTTTGCAAAACAATACGAGAACTGGTGAGTAAGAACACTGAAACTGGATCTTCAAGAAGAGGAAAGCCGAATGTGAAGATTACAGTACCGCCGTGATTGGCTTCCTACAAACGCCGAGAGCAGCTGTGTATTGAAAATTCATGCAAAAGCCCAAGGAGTGCATTAATGGCAAAATTTCAAGAGCCTGCGTGCGCGCAGATCCTTGTGATAACAGCCTGGTAAGTCCCAATTCCGTTGCCAGATGAAATTAACGAGCGTCGAGAGTATTATGATTCTGAAAAATTGGTTTTGTTACAGATTGTGAGAGATGGATATCAATGGAGAAAATATGGTCAAAGGTCACAGAGATAACCCTCCCCCAGGCTTACTTCAAGTGCTCCTTTGCCCCAAGTTGTCCGGTGAAGAAAAGGTGCAAAGAAGTGCTGAATCCTCCATCTTGGTTGCTACCTATGAAGGAGAGCACAACCATACACACCATTCTCCGTCTGCATTATCGTCGTTGAGCCCCGTTAATAGCGGTGCCGCCACCGCCAACAACTCTCGCTCAGCTCGTGTCTCTTCTTCTTCATCGGCTCCCGCTGTAACTGTGGACTTGACGAAACCAGCTGGATCGGATGATGATACCAAAAAACCTACCCAAAAGGTTGATCAACCGGCGATTCAACAGATTTTGGTTCAACAAATAGCGGCTTCTTTGACTAGGGACCCCAATTTCACGGCGGCACTTGCTGCAGCCATTTCTGGAAAAGTTGTAGACCAGAAGTTGTGAGATTCAACAAACTTGGGGAGAACATACCATGGTTCTGTACTTTTTCTTTTTTGTTGAAATTGGTAGAGAGAGTTTGAATTGAAATGATGTAAATAGAATATTGAATCTAATATATATATATATATATATAATATATATAAACTAAACAAGGTACAAATTTATTGGTATACAGAGTTTTCTTAATTTGAGTAGTTTCATTACTAAATAAATCTAATTTAAAAATTTAGTGGTTAGAGTTAAAAATTAATTAATTTTTTTTATTTTGTGATTATTTTTATTATTGTTATCTCAAAAATAATAGACCATGCATGAATTGCGACTTTCTCTTTTATTGCATTGACAATTTGTTCATTGACAAAGTATGGTCAATAGAAAGTTTAATTATGATTAAATGTATGCTGTTGGTCTTTATTATAATTTTTTGTCAAAGCAGCAGATTTGGTTTGAATAGGATGCTATGGAATGGAACAACCAATTTTTAAGTGCTTCACATGTTCGAGCTACCGTTCACCGACGTCTGGACTCGAAAACTTTAAAATGAAATTCGATTCGGTTTTAAAGTTCACAAGCCTAAAATTTTTAAACTCTACTTGAACTCCAAACTATATATTGAAGCTTGGAAAAGCTCGAACTAAAAAAATCCTTGAAATTAACTCATTTGAAGTTCAAACTCGAACTTGAACCATAACCTTAATTACATGAAAACCTTATACCATATGCTTTTAAAAAATCAGCAACAAAATTTTAATATTATTAATAATTTAAAATTTTAAAAATAAAATTTTAATATACTATTTTTTCGAGTTGCTCGTAAATTTTTCAAGTCAAGTATCAAATAACTTGTTTCGGCTCGTTAAGAACTTGAGTCGAGTTAGAGCTCAAATTGAGTTCATTCGAGTCGAGTATTTATATAATTTTGACCGAGTTAAATTCGAGTAGCTCATAATATGTCTCGTCCCATATTTATGGTCCTACTAACAGCTTCACCAAAGCCCAAAACATAGAATTGGACAACAACAAAAGAAAAAGGCAACAAGCAACCCACAATGAAATGAAAATGGGTTTTTTTCCCAATAGACAGCCCAAATTTGTTTTTCAAAATAGGGCAAAAACACTTTTATTTTGAAATTTACGATATTTTTTAATAAAAAATATTTTTATTCAATTTTTTATCTTAATGTAGTAAATTTTAATAAAAAATTATATTTTATTAAAATTCATCACCTCGACATGATGAGTTACATAAACATCGTAGAAAATACCGTAAATCCTAAAATAAAAACCCCATGCTTTAATGGGCTTAAAAAAAACTGACAAAAATCTTAAACAAGCAACAAAAGGAACGGTCATCGTCAGCCAATTGGAATGTAGAGCCCTCACTGGAAAATTCTCATGAATTATTATACCAAAAGTTGATGTAGTACTCGGTCATGCTACACGCTTTAACAACCTTTTGATATTGGAAACCCTTTTTGACACAAATCAATGAAAGTAAATTGTCGGGTTCATTCACCCTCTTCTAGATGATGTTATCTTCGCCGGAACCCGTTTACATTGTCGTTGTAGTAGGAACATGACGATTTATAAGCTAAAGCTGGGTGTAAAACTGCTTACTTCATCTGAATGATGTCATACATATTACGATCAATTTCCACATTTCGTGAATCTCGATTTTAGTATGGTATATAAATACCCCCATTCATAATTCTGTGAAAACTTGTGCCATCGATTTCAATTACTTCTTCTTGATATCGTCCGGTCAATTTTCAACACATACTGCCATGGATTCTCCAAACTATGATAAACAAAAGGTATGGTATATTGATGATATCATTGCTTTTAGTTTTTCAAGAAGGAGATGATGGATCTATTAAGAAAATTTTGTCAGGTGGAAGCTCTGCAAGTGGAGTTGGAATGTTTGAAGAGAGAGAATGAAGCTATGGGGTTAATATTCGAAACATTGAGCAAAAAGTACAACGCGCTTTATCAAGCTTATCTACGCCAGGAATCAAACAAGAGACCAAGACCTGATGATCCAGTTGCATCCAGAACCTCACAGTTTTTGGTGAAAACGGACCCTAGGGATCAAAGCCTTGTAAGATTTCATTAACCCTAGCTAGCTACGTTTCTTTGCATTTCAGCATGTTCTTATGGTAATAGGGTTTTCTGTATATAGGTAGTGAAAGATGGATTTCAATGGAGAAAATATGGGCAGAAAGTTACTAAACATAATCCCTCCCCTCGGGCTTATTTCAAGTGCTTTATGGCTCCCGGATGCCCTGTCAAAAAGAAGGTATATATAGCAATATATTCTTTATGGAGTTCTCCATTGTTTCAGATTTACTCATTGTTTTAGATTGAAAACGTGTAGGTTCAGCGATGCATGGAGGACAAATCTTATGTCGTGGCAACATACGAAGGACAACACAACCACGATGTTGATCCTCCGGGTGCCGGAAAATCATTGTCATCTTCATGCAATTCTCCGATATTCTCCCCGGCGCCGGCGACAAGCGTTCCTTTTCCACTTCCGGGTAATCCTTTTCGACCGGCCATCACCCTTGAGCTCACTCTCTCCGGCTCCGACGTCTTACAAAACAGAAGAAACCCTACAAGTCTTATGCATGATTACATCAGCAACAACAACAAGAGCATTGAAGATTGTGTTGCATCCTTAATAAAATATCCCAACTTCACTCCAGCTTTAGCTGCAGCAGTTGCTCGTTCTATCAGAACTGAACCCTCTAAAGTCTAAACCATCACCCCCATGAACAAATGGTTATTTGAGCAAATATCAAACAGTTTGTATCTTCTTTAATGAAAATCTGAATGGCAGCATGCTGTTCCATAAACTATATTATATATGTATCTAAAATAAATATTGTTAGTAATGCAAATATTAAGAGATTTTGTAGGGAGTTGGTTATCTATTTTTAGGACGTGGTTGGAGTGGATAATTGTCAATTGATAATTTTACCCTTTTACCACTCCTATAAAAGTGATATGCCTCTCCCTAATTTTACATATAATTGATGGCATCTGCATTTCCTTCTCGGAAAATTTCTGATCGAAGAGCGCTTCACAAGTGGGTTTCACTTTCTCACTTCGGATATACAAGGTTTAGAATATTGTAGGCCTATAAATGAATTGAACGTTCAGCGAACCGTTTGGCGGGAAATTCGTTTATTTATTAAACGAACGAACATGAACAAGATTTTGTGTTCGTTTAATTAAATGAACGAACATGAACAAAGGGTTCTTTCGTTCATTTACGTTCGTGAACGTTTTGTAATATGTTCGTTTATGTGTGTTCATTTATGTTTAGCCCAATCACTCTAGACCTATTTAAAATATTAAAGCTCAATAAATTTTAATCTAATACCCATAAAAAATTTAAAATTCAATTAATTTTAAATACAAATAAAAAACTCAAAACAATTAAATAAAATATAATCCTAAAAATGTTAGGAAAAGAAAATATATATTTTCATTTATGTTCGGTTACGTTCATTTATTGTGTTCGTTTACATCCGTTAGTTTATGTTCGTTCATATGTGTTCGTTTATCCTTTAAATGAACGAATATGAACAAACACGAACAAGCTACATCCCTTAATGAACGAACACGGAAAATAATTTTTTTGTTTATTTATGTTAGTGTTCGTTCATTTATTCGGTTAAAGTTAAACGAACGAACATGAACATACCCTCGTTCGTGTACGTTCGGTTCATTGAGTGGCCTAGAAGATTGTGTTAACCTTGGGGGACAACATCCACTATCGATATTACACCAACAAGGATGAAATTGCTTCTAAGGCAGTGAATTTTACCACGACACAATAAATCGTTCTAATTGTCTTTATTATTTCATTATTATTTGTTAGCCAATGCTAATGGTTTTATCTTGCACCAGTATTTTTTTCCCAACAAATATAAATGTCTTTAAACTAGGTTAAGGTTTTGAGAAAAAAAATCCAGAATATATATATCCGATGGATCCAAGAGATCGTCATAGAAGAAGGAGAAAGAGAGAGAAATAGAAACGAGAGCAGTACAATTCAGGACAACAGTTTAAGTTAAAAATCAAAATTTCTGCACACATTATAATACATGTGAAAAATTAATATTTATTTGAACCAACTACATTATTGATGATTTTCGTTTTAGTTTTATATATTTTTTCTTATTAAATACAAAAAATACAATATTTGATTATTTTTATTTTTATCTATTTAAGGCGTTGTCATTTTTATTTAATTTCCTCACTAAAGCAGTTAAAATTTCAATGATCACGTCTTAATTAAATAAAAACGAACGTGATCAAATGATTTTTTTTTAAAATTTAATAAAAAAATATATAAAAATTAAACGAAAGTGACCAGTCATATAGTATACCTATTTATTTTAAAGTACATTTAATCTAGAACTTATTCAAATATAAGAAAGTTAAGAATTGTAAAAACATATTTTAGGCATACTCGAACATTAGAAGAAAATCATGTTGCTGTTATCTTAAATAACCGTAATTATTCCCACCTAAAACAGGGATGATGAATTAGTAACAGGCAAAACAATAGCCGATTTAACCACATTTTACTCCATCCCTGCTTTTATGCCATCGCCACCTAATACTAAACTACACAAAATAAATTATTTTTTCTATTTTGTAAAAAGATTGAGTGACTAAAATAGAATCGAAGTGATAGTTAGGTGACTAAATACATATTTTATCCTATGAATAATACCTTTCCCTCCAAATCTGTTTTCAATTGAAACGGTTCACTTCACTGCTGTATTCCGCCTTGCTTCATCTCATTTCATCTTCTTTGTAACTCTCTCTCATTTGTCTTCTGCTAGACAATCTCCATTTCCATGCCGATGCGAATAGTTTTGAAGTTTAAGCTCCTTCTTCTCTCCCCCTTCTCTAAATCCAAACCTTCACCTCCTTTACGCTTCGCTGACGTTCTTCTACTTCAAGACCGTCTTCTCCACACGGATGGTTGCAGTGGACCGCCCAACTGCTCCAAACCCCGCCGTTTCGCTGCTCGTTTGTTCTTTTGCTTTCACCGTGGGAAGCTGACGAATAAGGTTCATGATGACGGAAAGAAAGAAGAACGTGATGTTGCGCCTCCTGATCACGTTACTGACGGTCCTGATTCGTCACCGGGTAAGATCAAGAATTAAGAACAGCAGTTTCCTACTTTTCTCATCTCCTGGCTTTTGAAATCTTGCTTTCTAATATTATTTTTTTTTAAAAAAGAAGCAGAAATATGTGGGCGTGAATCTAAATTTAATGTGGGAATAGGGTGCTGTTTGTTCCATCTAGTTGCTGAAAGTAAAGATGAACTTCAAAAGATTACGGAATTGAGGATCCAAATGGAGAGTCTTCTTCAGACTGTTAAAGAGGGACTGCTGAATAAAGATCCACTGGTTTCTAAGAATTCTGAATCAAATGAAGGGGATGGGATTTCAAGCAAAGTATTGTTTGATCAGAAATGTGATGATGCTCCTAAAGAAGAAGATCGTGCAGAGGGAATGGACAGGCTCGAAGCAGAACTTGAAGTTGAGTTGGAGCGTTTACAACTCCTTTTAGATTCAGGCAAATTCCTCACAAATCCTCCCGAGAGAACCATCGAGGCACAGAGAAGAAATGGAAAATCCCGTCCGGATTGGCGTTGTGGTGTTCCTCCATATGAACTGGAGAGAAAGTTGCATGAATTGCTGGAAACAAGACGGGAACAACAGATAACAGAGCTCCAAGCTGCTTTGGGAATTGCAAAGAAAGAGCTCCGTGAAAAGGAAAGAGAGATTTCTTGGTGGAAAGACACTGCACATCTCATGTTGGAGCATGCTAAAAAACCTTCATTGGTTGGTTTACAGTACGTTCGACATGCTCAACGCCTGAGACGAGAAGAAGAAGAAGAAAACTACTTTTGAGATTATTATGCTTCCCCATCGTGAATAAGGTGTAATGGTGTTTAAAAATGAGCGCTTGCTTCTGTGTTGAAACTTCAAAAGGATTTGTTATTTGATATAATCTAGTTTTTGAAATGAAATGAGAAAATAAGAATACAAGAAGTTCCAATAAAATATAGTTGGATGTTCATTCAATCAGATAAGATGTTCGTAAGAGGATGACCCAAAAACTGATACTACATAGTAAAAAATTTTCACCCCCTCCATCATAGACTAAAACTTCTTTACATTTATAGCAGTTTCTGAATCTTCTTTGTAAGCATCTGCACACCCTTCTCTAAGAAATAGAATGCCTCCTGTGTTTTGCAGATGACTTGGTGTCCCCTGGAATCATTGCAGCCGGGCTTTGCGAACTTCCAGAGGTCTTGGAACTTTTGTTCTCGCCGTGCCCTTTTCCCACAACCCACAACTTGTCGAATATTCTTCTCAATCGAGATGGCAGCATCTGCATCCCACATTTTTTGTTTTTGCTGTTCTTGACCAGTTTACTGCCATCCTCTTTTATCTTGATCCGGTTCATCTGTTTCTTGATGGAGCTGCAGTCTTCAGCTGCAGTTTTCTCCCATTCTTCGTCAGTCTTCAGCTGCAGCTCTAACCTGCTCAAAGTAGAGAACTTGAACTACCACCTGCAGTGGAAGTCTATCGTTCTGTGCAGCATGCATCGATGTATCCGGTATCAACTTCTTGACATCCATCAGACCACACAGTTCCTTTCTTTCGGCCTTCGTCATGTCCGTATGCCCCTGCAGACATGAAAACAAGCGTTACAAGAAACCAAACCACATTTGTACAATTTTGATGCCATACTCGAACATCCCAACAGGCCATCTCAGGCAGCAAGAAAAATGATCTAGGAATGCGTATTTTATGAGACGGGATAATATATAAATCCAGAATTTGAGAAGATCAAAGAAATTGACATCCATAATTTAAAAGCCTACCTTGAGGTACATGTCAATGGCTTTATACAGTTCATCATGAACCGGTCTAACAAACTCAGGGATTGACTAAGACGAGTCAACGAACTGGCAAGCGAAAGATTCGGGTCGCGGGCAATTTCTTCGAGATACCCATCAATCATTTTACCAACACTCAACAAGGTTCCATGCCCCAGAATAAAATCATTACATCCAACATCGCTCTTTCCAAGATCTGAATCTCGACTTAACTTTTCATGCATCATATACTGCTTCACAATAGAATGCACCATCTCAACATCGTATAAGGTAGTTTGGGGAGGCCGTGCTGGGATTATTAAATCCTTGAGAGAAGCTTCGTGCAGCTTTAAACTTACCCTCTGCACTAAATCTTCCATGGCCGAATAATCCACCCCAACCAAAATCCACTCATGGTCATGGATATATCTTCTCCAAAGAAACAATCGATGTTAAAGAAAATTCTAAAAGAATTTGGTTATAATATGGTTGAGGCAAGAAACGGCAAAACTTTCGAGATAATGTTCTGAAAGAAATTAATTCACGAGCTAATGCACTTCCAAGATTAATTGCTCAAATAGGGTGAAATCCACAGTGTTGGCCGTAGGTCGCCATGCACTCCGGGCGACCTACCCTTGCTCAAACAAAGAGAATGAACGTGTTGCATGGCACATGCACGTCCCAACACATAGGTCGCCATGCCCTCCGGGCGACCTACCCTCGCTCGGCTTCCCTCGCATAGCTCGCTCGGTTGCCCTCGGATGCCCTCGCATAGCTCGTTCGGATGGTCTCGGTCGAATGGCCTCGGATGCTCTCGGATGGCCTCGGTCGGATGGCCTCAGATGCCCAGCGTGTTGGGACGTGCATGGCACATGCAATCTCTTGTAGCTCGCTGGGAAGACATGGCGATCTAGTAGGTCACCCGGAAGGCATGACGACCTACGGCCAACACTGTAGATTTTACCTTATTTGAGCAATTAATCTTAGGTGTGCTTTATCTCGTGAATTAATTTTTTCCAGAACATCATCTCGAAAGTTTTACCGACAAGCACTGGCAATCTAGCCTACGGCATCCATATAACCTATTTAAAACATTAAAATTAAAAAGAATAAAAAATAATAATTATTTTATTTAAGTACCTAAAGTATTTTTTGATCAAAATAAATGCCTAAAGTTATTTTTTAATCAAAATAGGTGCCTAAAGTATTTTATATCAAAATTGATACCTAAACTATTCAAACTTTTTAATATGATTTCTAAAAAAATTGACATGTGATATTAATTAAAGAATACTTTAGGTACTACAAAAATTGAATATTTTAAGTACCTATTTTGACCAAAAAGATAACTTTAGGTGTTTATTTTGATAAAAAAATATTTTAGATTCTTAAATGAAAAAAATAATATACTTTAGGTACTTATTTGTTATATAAACCTAAATGAATTTGATACAATAATTATATTTCATTTTATTCTATTAATTTTTTATTGTTATTAATATTTCTATTTTGTGACGGTATTATTTTTAACTGATTGAAACCAATAAAAATATTAGTATTCACTTAAAAAAAATAACCTCGATTTTTATTATGATTTATCCATACAAAAAACGGTTTATATATCATCCTCTAAGCAATCTGTAGAAGCATGAACGGACGTTGAATTTACCACAAATTCATGAGCATGATGTGTGTGAGATGTGCCATTGGGAACGCAAAGCAAACCAGGGTTATCATTCCTTGCTAGCCAAGCTACCAGAAAAAGGTACACCTTCGGATCCCTAGTTGAGCTCAATCAACCTGGTTATTCCAAGTTAATTTAAATGGTTACTTCTTGTATAAACTATCTTCCACTATCCACGCTGCGAATCAGAGATGCCAATTCGATGTTGTCCGGTTGCGGAGTTTCGGCCTCGTCTTCGGTACTCAAAATGAAAGCGTTGGGGTCACCTTTGGGTACCAAAAATAGCAGACATATTGGACACACTCTCAGTATGTTTCGAATCAATATGACCAACCAGAGATAATCAAATTTTGTCCTGGTAACTTTCAACACATGAAGCATCAATCCACCCCCCCAGGAAGCTGAAAGACCTCCGAAGTTATCAATCGACATTAGCAAAGCGAAGAAAGTGCCCTCAATACCTGAAGGGCAGAGCTTGGAACTGAGTACGAGAAGTGGCATCCATTTGAGGCGTGTGATCATTTGGGAAACGGCTTCACCGATCACGACGAAGAGATAATCGGGTATGCCGAATCTCAGATTCATTCGTTGCACCAGCATCAAGTCCAGCATTCCTGCTACACCAAATAGCAACTGTGTCCAGAACATCATGTCTCTCAAGGGCTGATTCTTCAACACATTTTGGTAAAGTATTGCCCCCAAGAGAGCACCTATGGCACCCATTGAGAAAATGTACCCAACAGTCTCCTGCAAAAACCAGACTAATTACTGATGAAGTCTCCAACAATCCAAGCATGTGCATTTAACGGTACAAATTTCAATCAAACTATCGCTTCTTCTCAAGAGAAAAGTGATCAAAAGGATTAACATTCAAACAGCAATTGTCTTCAGGATTAGACTACCATAATGCGGAATCATATACCTTAGAGAAAGATGGACCCTCCTTAGCATCTGTGTACCAATAAAACAATCCTTCATTAATGTTCAAGCTCACTGCCAAGGATAAATACATATATAAACAAGGCCTCCAAACATCAGGGCCTTTTAAGGTTGTCCACATAGCTTTTGTAGCATCGAGGAATTTCCGGTTTACCTGATCCAGGAAGAGAATATTAAAGCATGGAAATTAGAGCAACTGAGCGTTTGATATATGAGTTGAAGAACACCTCATTGTAGGCAAAGTTGGGAATTCGGGGCTCCGAAAGCAGCATCCCGACTAAAGATACAAGTGCAGCGGGGAGAGTCAGCAATCCAAACACCCCCTGTCAAGGAAGAAGATAAATCCTTAGCCTGTATGTACATTAGCCATCAAGGAAGAAGAAATGTTGCAGAATTCGACTACAAAAATCAAACAGCATCCGACCTCTGGACCGATCAGGTGTATAAAGACACCACTGATAGAGAACCCCAGCAATCCTCCAAAAGAGTAGCTCAAAGCGCACAAGCTTTGCATGTCGGCTGCCCGAGAAGGGTGGGTAACGCTGTTCTGTGCCACGCATGCATCGACGGTTACATCCGCTACGGCTACTGCCACATTTCCTGCTGTTAATGTCAGGATGGCAAGTACCAGTTGCATCTTGCTTTTCAATGATATGAAAAGCATTGAAACAACACCTAGCAAACCTGTGATAGGATTTTTATACTAATCAAATAATAAGCAATAGTGTTATTTCCTAATTAATGTCTAGCCAATTGTGTTATTTGTAGAAAATATAAAGCATTTTTATACTCAGAGCACATGATGAGGATTTAGGATGATGCCGAATGAACATTCAAAATTTGCAAGCTGTATAATACACGATATGTATGCACCAGACATTAATGTAAGGATCCGGAAGTATCTGATAGGCAACGAAAGAAGAGCACGAAACAGAAAGGCGCCGGTTTACCGGATAATACGAAATAAGGCCTTCTCCGATACCCCATTATCGGAAGAACATCAGTGAGAAGACCCCAAACAGGCTTGATAATCCAAGGGATGGAAGTAATCCCGGAATAAACCTGAGCCTCGGAAGGCTGCACCTTCTGAACATCCTTCATGTAATACTCGGTTCCGATGCGAGAAAGAGCGCCTCCGAACCCCTGATTTATCCCATAAATAGACACAACTCCAAACACGAAGCTCCAATGCATTTCAACCGCAAGCATCTTAAACCAATGTATTGGACCCCAAAACAAGTAACACAGTCCTTGGGGTTCATCATCTTCCTCCACACCCTTCCTACAGGCTTCTTCCATATTCTCTTCTTCCACCATATATATAAGCTCAGTGAAAGTCAACAATGAACTTGATCATGTATATTCGATCAACAGCAACACCGGCTGCGATCCTAGAATAATGATGAACCTTCTAAATTTCCAGATGAGGCATAAAAAGATTGAAAAACGAGTTGACCGATAAAAGATGTTCCCTCAAATGGATTCTATGAGCTTTTCTTACACACTTGTGCCATTGGTGTCCTCAGGAGGGAATATATCAACAAATGTAGGTCTCAAGCAGATGAAGGATGGGATCTTTTCCAAGATGGGAAACAGGTTCTTTGGACACCAGATTTGACCAAACCCTGATCTGTTCATAAATGATGAAGAGAAACTAAACACACCAGAGAAAGGGAAAAAACAATAGTTTAAATGCTAGCTGGTAAGTCTTTTTTTTGGCAACATGGTGCTTAATTATTTGTACTAAGGTTTAAGTAATCTCATTAACTTGTTTTTTTCTCTGTGACGAGCCCCATAAAAGATGCTCAAGCAGCCAATTAGAAAACATTACTATGCAACTTGGCTTAGTTTCGATGATAATCGTAAATCTGGATTGAGTTTTGAAATCCGTGTAAATCCTTTTTCGTATCGAATTTTTATGCAGTGATTAACCAAGTTTTTATTAAAATTATACCCATTGTCAAATTATTTATAACTACTCAAAACCATTTTTAGTTTTCAATCGCTATTTTAAAATATGTGTTTACTGTTTTCTTTATTACACTTTTAGCTGCCGCCGTAGTTATATTTGATTGTTTTATGGCACGGATCAGTTATATAAAATTAAAAAATTATTTTTAAAAATACCTAAAATTATTATTTTTATTAAAAAATTATTTTTTTTGAAATTATAAAAAAAAACCTCAAAATTTCAAAAAATCCTAATTTCAATCCCTTCACCATAACAGACCACCACAACCATAGCTAATCGACGAAATCTTGACGGCGTACGACCCCGAACACCAAACTGTTGAACCCCCGTGATTCAAACGAAGATTACAGCAAAAAATAGATAATTGTAGTGTTGTGATTCCTTTCGTCATCGATGATTCAGACAATTCTTTATTCATCTGTCTTTGGGGTTCGTTTCTCTGTCATCGGGGAAGAAGATGAGAAAGAGAAATGGAGGGAGAAAAAGCTGGAGGCGAGGGAAGGGACGACAGGGGGAGGGAGGTCTCGATGGAGTTCTAAATTCTTTTTTTTTTAAAAAAATAAAAAATATATATATAAAACATGACTCGTCTCATTTAACAGTTTCTTTTAACGATATATACTTAAAACTGTAATGAAAAAATATTAGATATATTTTTAACGAAATTTTTTTTAGACATTAATAAATTAATTTTAAGTATAATTTAAACACATATTTTTATATTAATCGTAATAAAAACCTGGTTTTATATTAACTAGTTTTATACTGCTTCCGATACACACCAATATTAAGGCGAGATCAAATAAATTTGATTCGATATATAAAAAAGTTTGAATCGACTAATAAATATAATTTATAAATTACGAAACATATACATATTACGAAACTAATAAATATCAAATTTTAAGATGGCAAAGGCACGCTTCACTGTTATCAAGATAGATGTCCCCACAGATAAAAATCTCTTGCCATTGATGATTCTTGCCACAAATTTGAGTTAAAAACTAGAGCTTGACCGTAGCTCTTCTTGATTTGAGGTTAGCCAAGCTATCTGAAGGTCAATTGGTCGATGGCAGACTTGAATGCCTGTACCAAATGTGTTAAGGTACCTCAGCCTCTAGCTGATGGTAAGATTCCTCGCTCAGCTTGCCTTAAAACATATGAGGTGAAAGAGTCCCAAGGAGTTGTATGGGTATGGATGTCTCAGACCACTCAACCAAACCCTGAAAACTACCATGGTTCGAGAATTTCGCCAGGCCGGGGTTTTGAGATACGTCATCTATCCGAGAGCTTCCATATGATCACTCCATTCTCCTTGAGAACCTCATGGATCCTGCACAAATCCCTATCTCTCATGATAGAACCGATTGGAGTGCGAAAAGGGAAGATGCTCAGCCACTTCTTTTCCAGGTAACAGAAACGTTCTGATAGGGGATTTGCTGGTAGGTGGGGTAAAGAGAAAGATGGATCCATGTCCAACTTCTTACGGTTCGACGCACAGTTCGTTCTTCAGAATAACAGGGAGATTGTTGATAAAGATGGAGAAAAACACTACTTGACGGGTCTCTTCCTTTGTAGGCCAACCGGACAAGGAAAGTCTATGCTTATTGTTAGGTTTGGAGGAACACAAGGATCTCCATTGGCAAAGCTTTTCCCGGAATGGTACTTCAATCAAAATGGAAACAAGGTCTTTGAGCAAGATATGGGATTTTTGTCATCCCAGAATGAGGTACTCATGAAAGAAAAGGTTCCTACGAAAGAGTTGTACCTTATTTAAAGTATTCTGATACTTGGGTTGCTGAATACAGGAAGTGGATGGATAAAGTTGGGCATGGAATGCCTTACCATTTCGGTCACAGCAACATATCTCCACCTACACTACCTGCAGTTGTAGAACATGCACCGGTGGAACTCGTTGCTGGAGTTTCGGCATCTTCACCAGCTAAAGGTGGGATCGGAACAAAGCATGCTACAAATTTGGCTAACCGATATTTCCGCCATGTTATCCATTGCAAGAGTTGCAGTAGAGCAATGAAAACTTCTACGATGGGAAAAATAGGCTTAGTCTATGCAGACAGTGGAAACATGTGTCTGTAACCTTGTGCTTGGGCTGAGTCTATGCATGTTCCACCGTCGTTGCAATGATCACTACAAATTTCATAAGAGAACATAGGTGATTGTGATATCGAAACCAGCAATTACCTTCTTGTTACTCATTTTCCTTATTGGTTTTTCATTTCATAGATTAAATAATCATATTCGATACCCATATTCATATCCATATTGATATTGATATCCGTATTTATATCCGGATATGAAATGTGAAACCGAACTTGTGTCGGGCAAAATTGAATTATTCTCTTCTCATTTATGAACACAAAACTAGACTTGTGTTGGCCAAAATAGAAAAATTCTCATATATAGAAAAGAATATTGAAATAGCAAATCTAGCTAGCCAAACTTCACTTTAATGTATGAAGTTTTGTACTTGAGTAATAAGCATTCACTTGGCAAGCACCAAATTAAATCAGTGGGATTCGATACATGCATTGCAACACCTAAACCCCACCGAGAAGAATTTAGGGTATGTTTCTTTCCCTATTTTCCGGAAAACATTTCTCTTATTTTCTGGTGTTTGGTTAACAGGTTAACAGAAAACATATAGTTTTCTTGGTCAACTGAATTTCCTTTACATTTTTTAAAAAATAACTTATCATATGATTTTTCGCAAGTCATTGTATTTGATGTTTATAATAAAAAAATTAAAAAATCATCCAAACACCGTAAAATAATTTTTAAAAAATGTTTTCCAGAAAATAGAATTATTTTATTAAATTTATTTTCTGAAATTTATTTTCTGTAAAATACATAAACCCTTAAATCGAATCTAGAGAGATGTTAAAACTTCCCTCGCAAAAACATTTTTCGATTCAAAACTTAAAAAAACAACCAATTAAAATTTACAACCATGTCTCGATTTCAAACTTCAATATATATATTATTAAAAATAGGCTGAAATACCCCCATTGCCCCTGAAATATAACAATTGTACTAAATTATCCCTTAAAATATTTTTCAAGATGTTTTTGCTCTCAACTAAATCGCTACCCCGTTTGACTCATTCCGAAAACTCCATTAAAAACAATCATGAACCAATCAAAACACACCACATCACTCTTTAATAATTATTTTTTTAATAAATAAAAATATATTAAATAAAATAAAACATATGATACACCAAAAATACCCTTTCCCCCTCCACTCCCCCTCCTCTCCCTCCACCGTAACGACTCCCCACCCTCCATTTTTGCTTTCTCTGCAACACACCAATCTCTCCAAATTAAATAACAACATCTAACCAACAATTAAGATTCTAACAACAAAAAGAAGCAAGGAAAGATGAACATACGCGGGAACATGTAATGACCGACACTGAAGTTCTTTCATTTTAACAACACACCAATCTCTCCAAATTTAATTTCCCTTGTTTCTACAAGGAAACATGTAATGCCAGACTCTGAAGTTCTTTCATTTTCCTCTGAATTCTCGTTAACTAAATAGGCAAAAGTTTGCAACACTTTTAACTTCTCAAGTTCTTTCATTTTCCTCAGTTTTCTCGGGAACCAAACAAGCAGAGAAGCGATTCCAATAAATATATATTTTTCAGTAGATTCCAACAAAACCCAGAAATTAGTTGATGAAAAAAAATCTCATGGAATAATTTCAACAGAATTGAAAACGATTTTTGGAGGAATTAATATAAGCACATTTACAAATTGATAAACGAAAGCTATTAGTTTTGATAGGAGTACCTGATTAGAGCATATGGGTCTTCCGTTTTCTGCTCGATTTCAACGATCTGAGGAAGGGGAAATGACCGGTTGTCCGACAAGAAGAAAGTGAGATATAGTTACTGAACTCCATGGTTTTGAATCAACAAACTTGCTGAAGATTCAGAGAAGCCAGGAGAAGAAGAGGATGAATGAACAAAGTGAGAAAGAAGAACAAGCCGATGATGAGGAAGGAGGAGAACAAGAGGAAGATAATGAAGACGGGGAAGAACACAGGACTACGCTTGATGATGGGTTTTATGAGATTGAAGTTATACCAGAACCAAAAAAAAATTACGGTGGAGGTGTGGTGGGGTTGGGGGAAGAGAGATATTTTTGGTATGTTTTTATTTTATTTTATTAATTGATTTATATTTATTTAAATAAAAAACAAAAATTAAGAGTTGACGTAACGTGTTATGTTTGGTCAGTGAGATTTATTTTTAACAGAATTGACGGAATAGAGCAAACGAGTTAACGATTTATAGTTAAGGAAATAAAACATTTCAAAAAATTCTTTAAGAAATAACTCGATACAAATGGCATAGTTCAGAAGACAATAAAACATTTAATCCTTAAAAATAATAGTCAGGAAATTCGATATGAAAAATAAATATTTAAAACATGCATAAGCATTCCAAAATTAATTATATTGTCCGAAGTCCCAAATACAAGTACCAAAAATAGTCCCAAAATATTACAAGTAAAGTCCGATAAAGAGAAGTCAAATTTAACTCATACTGGAATATAGTTTTATCTGAATGTTGATTGTGATTCTTCAAGTACCGATTCTCCTAAGTCCGGGTGTCTGAAAAAATGAAACTATAAGGGAGTAAATTATAAAGCTTAAAACAGACAAAAAGTCAAAACAAAAACAGATTAACAATCCGAGTCAACCAACAATAATCATGTTCAGAAACCATCGAAGATAATCATAAATAAATGTCACGCAAATGATTATGCACCCAAACGCAAGTTACACCACACCATCTGAAGAGTGGATTCCGCATAACCACTCAAACTACAATCACACCATTCGAAAAGTGGAGTCCGTCACAAAGGCTGAGGCCACAGAATCTAAAAGGGACATTCATTCCATCGAGTGAATGCTCTTAACTTCTCCTATCAAAATCCAACTCAATATGACATGCAAAATGATATACAAATCCGATTTTCTGATCTAATCCGAAAATAAAATACTATAAAGTCAAATATTCAGAAGCATATAATCCACATGCATAGCATATATTCTGAATCCGACATATCAACATAATTCAAATATTCCAAGCGTACAATACATTATAAATCCGATAAGTCAACATGCAACATATAGCATTTATCCGAATTGTATTTAAAGCAAACAATTTCACAGAACAATCATGATTTCTATTCAATTTTCTACCAATCAATACAAAAAATATATATAATATCGGACAAAGACACACCTCGACAAATAACTAACAACGGGATAACGTTTCTCACGATCGGACCGAAGAGTGGATCGATTCGAATCAGAGCCTAAAATAAATATTTAATAATTAGTACATTATTCTAAATTAACGACATAACCAAACGTACTAAAAATTATCGATTACACTCACAGTCAACACCAGCCACACGGTGAGGTTCGCAATATGCGGGTAACGGCGAGGGGGGTGGTAATTCCGTTTCTGGTCCGATATCTCCTGCAAAAATTTTGGTGTCCGATTAAATATTCCAGTACACAAATTTTCATATTAATGCAAAAATTAATTAAACATTAAATCAATTCCCGGTTCGAACGAGGGAAACGAGCAGCGGGGCTGTCAGTAACGGAAATAGGGGCTGCCGATTCTGTCGCCCCCACGACCGCTCGTCGACCAGCAAGGAAATCAAGCAGCAGCCGCAGCTGGAAACAACAGGCATGCACCTAGGCCAGCAACAGCAAAGGGCAGATCTAACATTAGCCGATCTGGCCTCCTCGCACGTAACCCGACCCCTTGAGCGACCGAGAACAACCGTTACATTCCTCACGATGGTTGGGTTTCGGTTTTGTACCTTATCGACGCTCGAACGACGACCACACGACCAGACGATGGAACGAGGGAAGAATCTCGGTCGAGCGATTATCACTAGTAACCTAGGCTTAGCGTGAACGACGGCATAACGGGAGAAGATGAAGCGGTGGCTAGAGAAAGAAGAAGGGTGAAAGAAAAAAAAGAAAAGAAAAGGAAACAGACTGTTGAATTTGGGCATATTACATCATAAATCCTTGTACTCTTTAGGGTTTTTGAAAATGGTCTAAAGTTTCACTCCTATAGCAAAATAATTACCAAATATTACCTTTAAGCCCTCATAATCCCTGACAGATTTAATTTGATCCTACACTCAAATTAGAGATTTGAAGGAAAATTCTCAAATCTTAGGTTTTCAAATTGGGGGAAAACGGGGTTGTTGCATGCATTCCAGAAGTCTAATAATGTAGTCCAGCATTGGAGCTGAAAGGCAATGGCGGCTCTTCCGAATAGAGTAGTTTACGAACTCTGGACTTACCGGATGACAGCATATGAGATGAACTTCTCTTACCGTTGGTGAGATCTGGAAATTTTGATAATCCAGGACTATTTTCAGCACCGAAGTTTGTAGTCCGATGTTGGAACTCCACATCAAATTCAACCTCATTTAGCGTCTAAAACAGGCAAAAAAATATTCAGTCGAAAGAGAATATGTTTCTCAGTAGCCGCAACATATATAAACATTTTCCTCAATGATAAACAAATTAAACTACAAACCTTAACCGCTTGCCTCAAAACATGCAAACGTTCTTTCGCTTGCTTTCTTCTAGCATCAACCTCATCTGGCTCCTGCAACAGCTCTTCAAAAAGGCTCTCTCTGCGTATTCCAAAAGTTCAGACTTCAGTAACTTAAACGACATGCATAGAGACATCCCCACAATGATAGCAATGAAAAGGAGGGAAAAAGAGAACTACGTTCATAGAAGTGCAAGAATTGTGCATTAATTATTACTGAAAAAAAAAACTTGTTATGCTTGTACATTCTTAAAGATTGACATGACATCAGATAATAGAATTATTCCATCATTATCCTTTTCTGTTTGCATACATTTTATTCCTTTAACGGTTTGGAGCATAATTTTTTGGGGGCATTAGAACACAAATGTCTCCATGACTAACATCATTTCAAGAGCTCATAATGGAAAATAATGCCAGCCATAGCTACCAGGTGCCGAATAAACATTTCCCCCCATTTGCATATTCTGCAAATCGAAAACTAAAACATGATGTACTGACAATAATTCCACGACTAACATTATTTCAAGTGCTCATATTGGAAAATAATGTCAGCCACCCCACAACTACTGGGTGGTACCAAATAAACAAAAAAAAATTAATTTACCTATTCCACAAATTGAAAACTAAAACATGATGTACTTTAAAACACCAACCAAAATCAGGAGACATACCGGTATAGTTTTTCTATAAAAGTGTCATGAAGGTTTGTTTTTGCATGATTGACCTGAATATTGATAAAAGGGGGGAGGGGGCTCATTTTAGATTCATCAGAATAAAAGTTCAAATTTGACCAACAGGAGACAAAATCAAACAGTATTACCAGAAAATGCATTATAGCCTTTGGCACCAAGTCTTCAATGTTCTTCCGGACTATATCAAAGTAGGACTTCACAAGTAATTTGGTGACAATTACTTCTTTAGCTCCATTGTCCGACATTTCAAGTGGTCTTAAGGTTGCGGGAAGCTGAGATAACCAGCGGCAAACATGAAGGTAGTGAATTTAGGACAGGTAGGATAATTTTGCTGTTAAAGGAAAACAAAGCAATATCTGGTCTCTCACTGGAGCGCATGGCTTAGAATGTTTACCTCTCTCAGTTGGACCGTTGATGCCATATTCTCTTCTTGATGAAGAGTTTCTTCATGGGATTCTGTAGCTGCTGGTCCTCTAGATGATGCCTTGCTCCCAAACATTGAAGAAATACCCCACTTGCTCGTGGATGAACTGCCACCTAAATAACAGTTACCAAGTTGATGGTTATGAATAAACCAACTTATAAAAATGTTTACGCAAAGGCCTATGGGTATCATCTGTGTCCATGTTATAAATTTGCCTAGAAGATTCAGAAATAATGGAAAACTTTTTCTGCAACTACAGAACTGTTTTAATTTTCTGCATTGATAAATTTGGACCCACCCGTCCATCATCTTGGAGATGCAAATACCATATAAATGAGTTTTTGTTTGAAGAACGTAAGACAGAGAAGTGCAGCAGTCTCCATATTGGATGTTAACTATATGAATAAGATGCTTCAACAGAATGTAGCACAATATACATCCATCTCATACTATATATTCTGCCACGTGGAACGTTATCATACAGGTTATACAAATCTTGAAATTGCAGTACACTTGATACACCAAAATGTTCTAACCTACATCAATCACAAACACACAAACAGGGAATTTCATTTTTTTTCCCAAAATGTAAAAAGAAAATGCATCACTCTTTCAGCCATTGCATTCATTAAAAAAATCAGTTAACCAGTCATACAAGTATCAAGTGAGAAAGAAAAATAAAAACAAACTTGGACTAGCAGTTAAGAGTAAATTACCAGCTAATACAGGTCGCTCACTACTTGACCGAGGACGATTCCCCTGCCACAATACCATCATAGATTAAGTGCTTAAAATGGAAATGATAAAAATGATTTCTATTTCCTGATTTATACAGTTCTTTCCGCTTTTTCCTCCCCTTTTATTTATAAGTCTTATTTGTTATATTTAACCAAACTCTACCACCAACATACTACCAGTCTAAACCATGATGCAATAATTACCCTCAACTCCCGACAAAAATTAAAGGATTCCTATGTGATAATAAAGCATAGTGGTATGTTTCTTATAGTGTTAAAATGGTTTCGCTTACATTTATTCTCACTTAAAGTAACTAAAGTGTTATGTTTAATGCTAAAAAGTGTACGAACTAGGCAGATAAGGACAAGAACTTCAAAATAATTGAAGGCTGAGATTATGACTCAGTTTTAAGACTTCAAGGAGATGCAATTAAGGGCATGAATGGAGCTTGTTTGTTAGGGTGCTCAAAAAGAATTTCATTAATACCATCTATGAAAATGGATACTAAGATATCTCTGCACAGACAGATATGAAACCTAATACATCACAAGGTAAAAGCCTAAAGCTTGCAAAACCTCGGAGGGCTTTATGTAAAAACAGATACCTGGTCAGAAACACCATTCACAACTGATTGAGCAGCAGCAGCAGTTCGGGATATCAGGCCCTTCTCAGATGTAGGTACCTTCTCAATATCCTGTCTCTCCTGAATGATACAAAGATGAAGTAAATGTATCTAAATCATGAATAAAGTAAAATCTGTAGCCATTTTTGTTGCAGAACAACTAATCAACTAATAATGGAACTTGAAATTCGTGATAGAATCATTTGTTGTCAATATATACTTGTAATCAATTAAATTCAAATAGATTTTGTTACATGCAAATCAACCTTGACATAGATTTCAAAACAAGAATTTGCCATTCATTTCTGTAACAATAAAATAGACGTCATAATACATGCTTTTAATACAATTTCACATCCCTCCAGCCAAACTAAATCAGTTGAAATGACATCTTTCAAATTTAAACTTGTATCCTCAGTAGTCAGTCTCATAAAGGTGGATGAATACTGAACCAGAGTGAGCAACATAAAACTACAACAAAATGCTAAAGGGCTAACTTGCAAGCCTACAACCACAATGAATCAATTGGAATGATATCTATACCTTTGATGATCTCATTTGCTGCTCAGCAAGCTCAACAGCTTTACTGCCACCAATAAAATTTGGATGCGAAGAATTTATATAATCCATCTGATGTTTAAAAAACACCAAAATAAAAATCACAATCATGCATGATATAATAATTCAAATATAAAATTGTCGTAGAAGATATGGTAGCTTATATCTTGATGAATCATAAAAGGGTGTTAAAATTAATTCAGAAACCAGTACTAGTCAACTTTTGTTACATACAGAGGGTGCTAACTAAATCCCATCTAAACATAAGTGTATGAATAAATGGAAACTGATCCTATTAAAATATCAGTGAATATATTTAGTGTAAAATAGGGAAAGAGCATTTCTCGTGAAGATTCACAAGCAACAATGAATAAAATAAAATTGCAGAATCACTAAACAGGTCACAACACTGTCTGTACTGTAGTTCTCTTAATTCAAGTATGCTGACCTATAAAAACATTCAACATTTTCATTAAAGCATTTTCAAAATCTTGATATTTTCTTACTATCCTCTTAACCCAATGTATATTTCTGTGAGGGATCCACATGTTCCATTTCCATACATGCGACAACATGCATATACACGTGTCTACCCTAGATTTTAGAAACTCCTTATGATGTCATATTTTTGTGGTACCCAATAGATATTGTTATGTGTACTTATACACATAATTCCTATATCATTGTAGATATCATATAAATAAAGGATAGAAAGAAATCAATGACCTCCATCTCAATGAGGTTTCTTATCATTGTCTCAGCAGGCTTAACAGCAGCATCTAATAAATTCCTTACAACTTCAGTTATGTGCCTTCTTAATGATGGGAACCTCTGCAATTCAGTTGATTCGCAAGCCTGGCTAATCTGTCGGAGAAAATTTACTCTCTCCATCATATCCACATGTTGAACTCATAATTTCAATAGGTAATAAAATGATCCCAGCACAACAATACCCACTATTCTCACCTTTATTAGTTCATCATAGACAATCAATAGACACTGATGACAAGGGTCTGACAACCGAGCAATTTGTCTTCTAACCAAAACTTCGAATGGAACCTGAAACTCAATGAAATACATGATTTATATGCCACTGATTTCAACAATGCAAAAGTCAAAACGAGAGCCATTTGTCTTTTACCAAATCACTGTTGTACTCACCTCTGGGACAAGTAGAACATTTCTTAGACCAGATGAATTTCTAATAGCATATGCAATATCCTTGTCAGTCAGCCTTTCACAAGGGTCCATTTCCTATATATAAAAAAACAGTTAAGCTTCTAGTTCTTAAGCGTGGAAGATTCCAGATGACACAAAAATGATAGCATCCTTACATAAGAGCTTCAGAAAGAAAGAATCATACCTCTAAGAGCTTCACAAACTCTGACTGAAAAAGGTACTGAATCCTGGCTCCTCCAAACAATTCTTTAGTTGACATCTCCTGACTTTTTCCATCAACCATAGCAGAAAAATCTTTTCCAAAAATGAGAAAAATAACGAAATAGAAAACTCAGCAACAGCATAAAATTTAGTAAGCAACATTCCCCATCCCACCTGAAATCTATACAATTTTGATTTTTGTATGCACTGATTTGCAAGATAATAAGTGTAAATGAAAAAGAGAAACTGGGACCCGCCACACAAAAAAAAAAGAGGCAGAGCGGGAGAGGATAAAAAGCATGCAATAATTGCAAATCCCATATGTTAGGCTAAAACTTGAATCAAGAAGGGAAAATAATAAGCACATATATTTTCCTGATATGGCAAAAATGGTACATATAACGAGGAAGACGAAAACCTCACCATCACAGTATCTTCTAAGAATGTGCAATAAGGTTGCTCCTTGTTCTGCCTAGATATGGACATAAGTAATAATCAGAGATAACTAATGTAACAAAACTAACAATCCCAAGAGGGAAAATCAGTTTTGTCTCTTTGGGGAGAGTTCATGAATATGATGAGGTAAGGTTAATTAATTTAAAAAAAAGCAGATATCACCGAATAGTAAGAACAATTACTTAGATCTCAACCTCAACTTAATAGAACACTTGTTTACTTTCATTCAAGGGAAGCAGGAAACTCAACGATGTTAAACTACCAAACAGAATGTTGGCCAGCACCCTAACATTACCCAAACTGTGACAACTTACCTTTGACTCCACAAAATCTCCATAAGTCTGCAGCTCTTTCATAGCTGCATGCATACGAGAGTTTAGCACAGCCTTCAAACGTGGGAGATCCTTTCTGATATGCTGCTCTAGGATCTGGAAAGAGATAAATCAATCACAGCAGAAAAGTATAAAACGTGTAGGCAAGGAATAAGATATATATATATATAAAATTGTTAAACCATTTAGGAGTTCAACAAAAGGCAGTCATAAACCAACCTGATTCAGCTTCTTTGCCAATTGAGGAATGCCACAATGATTGGAAACATCATTATATACCTTTAGTTCATATGTTTCAAGAAAGAGAACTGTTCAGATTATATGGGAAGTAGAACTTGAAGTCAAAATTCTATTCGAGAGATGAAAAGTACAGGATAATCACGGAAGAACTGTTCTTCATAAGCTAGTGCTTCTTGAATGCTACGGTTTTTCTTGATATCCTGTAGCACATAACAAAACAGTTAGTACCTTCACCTATTCAATGATTCTGAGAAGGAAAAAATGACTAGAGAAAGTGAGAGAGAGAGAAAGTCTGCCTCCCTTGCATGGTCATATCACAACATCCTTACCAGACTCGCGCACATTTTATAATCATATTGTTCAATAAGATAATCAGCCAAATCCGGTTGCTCCAAAGCTAAACTCTAAAGCATCTATAAGGGAAAGAATCCACCAAAAATGCTATGAAACAGAAACAAGCGCATGGGCACAAAGAAAGGAGCTAATCCCCATATTATCCAATATATGGAAGAATTGCAGATAAACTACAATGAAGCTGCCAACTGCAGCCTTTAATAACTTATACCTCCTGGCAGCGATTCACAACACCAACATAACCAAGTTTGAGTGGAACCACCCTTCCAAGCAAAAAGTTACAGGCATTAGTGCCCCTGTCCATAATATCAAGCTGCATGGAATGCATCACATAAGATAGTAATTCAGCAAGGACAAAAAAATACCGGGAGATGAGAAAGATCAAATCACTTATTAAATTTCTCTCATTCTTAAAAAAAAGGAACAATAGGAACCTTGGTGATTACACCGACCGTCCGAGAACCTGAAAAAACATATATTTCAGTTCATTGGAATAGAAGAACTCATACATTCAGAAATGAAGCCACGTGTGATTTTGAGTTACCACTTGGATCAGCTAATTTAGCTATCTGTAGGGCATCAGATGTAGCTAAATCAGAATTTGCGGGACTGACGGCCAATATGATACAATTTTCATTGTTGATATGTTCCGTAATCATTCTCCTAATTCTTATTTCGATATCACTAGGTTGATCCCCTACAGGAACCTTGGTAATGCCAGGTAAGTCGATAAGGGTCATGTCAAGGACATTGGGAGAGGAAATCTTCAATCGAATCTGTTTTCCTGAAACCCCTTTGTTACGACCTGCTTCTCTTTCAGTCTCAGCCTACACAAGTTTAATAATAGTAAAGAGTGAGTGTGTGTGTGTGTGTGGGAGAGAGAGAGTTCGTGTTTGCAAAGAGAGTAACAATTTTCAAATTTGGAAAATCTAATGAAATTTCAATAATATGATCTAAAACTTCAATGCAACAATCCAGTGAACTTAAAAGTTGCCAAATATTTTTAAAAAATGAAAGATAAAGCTGATAGCTGAACCTGAATTTCTTGACGGATTTGAGAGAAATCATAAAAGCGACGGCCGGGTAAGTGGAGAAACTCACCCCACTCGGCTCCATCGTCATCTGAACACGGAGGACGGTTTTCAAGCATTAAAACAATCGGTCTTCGAGTACAAATACCGCAGCCTCGAGGCAGAAAATCGCGGCCAACAAGAGACTCAAGCACGCTAGATTTACCGCTGCTCTGACTGCCAACCACCGCCACTTGAGGTACCGATATATTGGACAACTCGTAACCAGAGGAAGAAAGTATGTCATGGAGTTTGTTGATCACCGGAATCAGCGACGAACCAACGGTTGCTGAAGTTTTCGGAGCAGTCGACATATTGTTGTTTGCATTCTCTCCTTTGTCCATTCAAATCAGAACCAAAAAGGAAAAGGAAAACGATTCGCTGAAAAGAATCAGAAAGAGGGGAAAAAATAAAAAGCTTTTGGAAAAGCGGATTCTGAATAGTGAGGTTGAGAGTACGATAGAAGAACCAAAAATTTTTAGTATAGTAGTAACTTAAAAATGCAGGAGTGATTGAGTGGAACCGTCAAAGACTAAAATCCTTGGCGAGAAAAAAAAATTAAGAGAGAAATTTAGTCAGAAAGTTTCATTTTTTTTTTTTTTGAGAGAGACTTAACGAGAAAGTTTCGTTTAGTAGTAATTAGTAAGTCAAATTAAATTTAGTTTTTTCTTCTTCTTTTTCTGGCGCTGCGTTGCCTTGCCTTGATACCGTTCCAACACCTCGAACCGATTCCGAGGTTTATACTAAATATGGTACGGCCGTATATATATATATAGTTATCATATAATAAAATTTAGGGTTAATTATACAAATGATCACTTGTTTGTCCTTTATCCACTTTTAGTCACAGATTTTAAAATACATAAAATATGATCACCTTCGTTTTTTATTTACTTAAGATATGATTAATTTTGTTTTTATTTATTTAAGATGTGATCACCACTGGTAAATTGTAGTTAACAGATTAAGTGACATAATATTTTGGTATAATCACATATTTGGTCATTATTATTTACAGATTCTTTCAATTTAGTTATATTTTTAATAAATTTAATCCTCTAATCGAATGATGACATGTGTCAGTGGTGTCATGTATCACCATTCGATTGGAATACTAACTTTATTTTAATTTAATATATTTATTTTTCAGCAATTTGCTTTGCTTTGCTTTATTAAATTAAAATAAATTAAAATAAAGTTGATTTTCCAACCAAATGACGACATGTGACACGAATCGAGATACTAATGATAGTGGCATCATTCTCTTGAAGGATTTATTAAAAGTATGATTAAATTTAGAGAATATATAAAAAATATTGATCAAATGTGTGATTATACTAAAATATTTAACGATAGTTAACTTGTGGTGACCACCACATCTTAATTAACTAAATTTTATGTATTTTGAAATCAGTGACAAAAAATGAACAGAACACAAACATAAGTGATCATCTATGTAATTAATCCTAAAATTTAGGAAATGACATCAAACTCTGATTGAAAAAAACTAATATTAATAGAGATATTGCATGAATTTACAGTCCGATATTCTCTCAATAATTAAAAACTATTCCTAATTAAAAGTGATGCATCAATTTACACAACAAAGCATCCATTCCAATAGAGCAGAACAAAGGAGAGAAGAAGCCAAGTCTAATTTAAGTTCATGTTCTTTCCATTTTATGGTGATGCATCAATCTATCACCAAACAACTTAAAATTTGCAGGTGTCAAAACCTTAAGCCATTTTTTTCTTTGCTAGCTACTGCATTTGATGCGGATGTATGAACTGCTTCAGCCTCTGCCAAAGCCTTGCGGGTCTCATTTAACTTCCTCATAGCAGCGTCGTAAACAGCTTTTTCGTTTCTGTTTCTGCTCGCCATTTCCTCGAAATTTACAACACGTAACTTTAGTTCCTTCACTTCATCGTCATAAGCAACCAATGCTTTCCTATCTACTTTCTTCTCCTCTCCAGAGCCTTTCTTTTGCTGCTTCCTTGTTGTCCCTACATTTACTGCTTCATTGAGGCTAAAAACATCTGGTCTTGAATCCCCTTCTTCTTTTGCAGCCCGAGCAGCTTCAGCAAATTTTTTCTCACGCTCTCTTGCCACCTCTACTTTTCTTCTCTTTTTTTCTCTTTACCCTCATCATTCTCATGAGACTCCAGAGCATGATCGAGTGATAGCTTAGGGGGAAGGACTTTAACTGAGATCGGGTCCAACATTCCCTGGCCACAGGCACCTAATCCCATCCCCTCACGATAACCCATATTGACCATCATCTTAGAAGCTACACCCCTGGTATGATTTTCCCATTAAGCAAATATGGTAGTTTCTGTCTGGATAACTACTCTCGAGCAGTGCTTTCAAGAAAACCTATACCCCTCGGGCTGTCCTCTTCATCATAATCACTAGAATCAGATTCTTCAGGGATTAGTTCACTTTCTTCATCACCGCTCATTTGTGCATATTCAGACAATGTTAAGGCTTCTATCCTGAGCTCTGCAGAGCTTCCACCATCGCAGAACACAACCTTCCCCGTTCTGAGTTCATCGTTCAATGATTCAAATTCAACTTCCCTCCAGATGCCAACTTTACTGTCAGAGACTGCCCAAATACTGGACCCAACCATTGATGGCTCCCACATGGTTGAAGCACGGATTTAAATTGTGATTGCGGCCGAGTTTTCGGTCACTTTGCGTTTATCGCGATTACGGACATAATGGATGCTATTGCAATCATTGCGGGTATTGCGGTCGTGAATTTTTTCTAAATGAGTTTATTTTTTTTAAGAAAAAATAAAAATAATGGAATAGCAGTCCGCTATTGCCGCGATTGGCCGCTACCCATTAATAGCAGCCCGCTATTGCCGCGATTGGCCGCTACCCATTAATAGCAGCTGTAACCCACTGCTATTGGCGTGATTCCGTGCCACACCGCTATTTTCTGTGATAGCGGTCTCGGACACCACCGCAACCACGATATAGTGGCCGCGATACCGCTATTTGGCCACTATTTGAATCCCTGGTTGAAGCATACTTCTTCAGTGAAGGTAATGGGACATCAACTCCTGCGGACATATAAATGTTAACTCCGATGTATTAGAAGCAAATGCTACAAAAGGAAAATTATAAAAAATGATGCTAGCAGCACTGTGCCAGTTGATGTAGTAAGAAATGAGAGCAAAGAATAATGTACAACAAGCTAACACATATAGAGGGCTCCATACCACAATCAACTTTGGAAAGAAATGGAGTTATAATATAATAAACACAGCCTTTTGGAGCACACGGCATGGCAACTGAGATCTGTCGTCTAGTTCTTATCCCCCCACATAAATGCCCGATACAACTAGCCCATGTCAGCATTGAAGGTTAGAATGCAAATCTAGAAGTATCTCACAAATGTCCTTCTTATTGAGCAGTTTTCTTAGCTCACCGTATAGAATTAATAGGTTTATGCAAAACAACGATTTTTTGTCTTTATGATGCTCTCCATACCATAAGCTCAACGTTTGCTCGTATCCTTAGTGCAAGAGCATGCAAGAACAAAGACAAAGGGAGCTTTGGGTAACAACCTACTAGTCCATAATACAAAAGACTCACACATACATGTGATAAGCAGCAACCATCACCAAATCGACATCTTTGTTGCAGAAAAAACTTGCACATCGGCACTAGCAACTGGAAATAGTAAATGTTGCTTAATTAGCAATAGAGAATATTTCCTCATTCCTTGACAAAATTACATCCAATTCTCAAACAACTCTCCCAACATCTCAGGTTATCTCACTCTGAACAACACGGATATGCGCTTCCTCTGTACCAGCTATACAAGGATATCCTATGTTTCCAAATAAAACAGAAGTCTTTCCCTTCTTTTTCTTTAAGAAAATTCATAAGTTTCTAATTACATTAGATAGAAATATTTCAATTGAAGTACTAACTTTCTCAAAAATAAAAATAAAAAATAAAAAACAGAAATATGGTTTAGGAATTCGAGCAAGTGCTTACCAACATATTTTCTGAAGTGGGTGTGAGGAAAGATATCTTTGCAGAATCGGAGCCGTTCAATGCAACAACTTGACCATCATCCCACCAGCCGTCACTGCAACGGAACCGACATTTCGACCCCACCTGATAACTCTTTTCCTCCGCCAATGGTTTCGCTTCTATATCGTCCGGGTCAAGAGACTCCGCTTTAACCTCCTCAACCACTGATTGATTCGAAACATCTAACGCTTAATCAGCTTCTCGAAGTAAACGTGCGCGCTTAAGATTGAGAAGCCCCTCCTCTGTCTCTTTGATTGCCTCAACAAGCTCACCGTGAACCTAAACCCAATCAAAGAGAAATGAAATTAAAAAATAATTCAGACTACTTATCGAGATAATTTTGAAGACTTACGAGGAGGAAAAAGAAAACAGGGGATGGAAGAGATGAAGTACCGCGAGGATCTGGGGATTGAACGGGTCTCTTTGCTCGTCAACTGAAGCTCCAGTTGGTCCTCTAGAACCCTCTCTTCGTCAGCCATTGTTGTTTTCTTTTCTTTTACAGCGCCGGAGGAGTCTGATAAATCAATCAATAGCAAAAATTAAGAAGAACCTCCGAGGCCTTCTCCCCCAATATGATAAAAATGGTGGTGATTCTGGTGAGTTGAAATAAGGGCGATAAATCTTATTTATTCCACGCTCTTACCGGGCGCGTCGTTTCAATTAGACAAAGACGAAAGGTCCCTAATCTTTTATTTGAAGGCGTAATAACAAAATTGCCTCCACATTTTCATAAATAATCATTTTGTTTTCTATTCTTTTTGATGAAAATATTTGTGTCCGAAGGAAATTATTAGTTTACTAATAGTAAACACATATTTTTGAAGTACTATTTTAATATGTATTTAATTATTTATGTATATATATATATATATATATATATATACACACACACAATATATATACATGTAACACATAGACCAAAGATAAAATAATTATATTCATATGATCAAATTAATAAGTAAACATGATTTTAAACTCATATACATATCAATCATCACTATAAAGAAAATTAAACATTATTTCATTATAAAAAAAACAACATAATAATTTTATAACTTCATGGTGGTAAAAAAACCCTAGTTGATTTCCTCCTCCCCCTCTTCTCTCTCTCTCTCTTTTTCATTTTTTTGTATAATTTGTGTCAGTTTTATTAATCAATCCAACTTTTTCGTCTCTAATTTAGTTTAATTGGCGGCAATACCGATTTTGATGTTGGTTATCGCCCGTCGAATATCTTTTTTATTTGTTTTTTTAGTTTCTTAATAAGAATAATTATGTTTTTGTGACATGTTTTATGTCTTTATGACACATTTGTATGCCTTTGTAGCACGTTTTTTCTGTCTTTTGGTAGCTTACGAGTTTTTTTTACCTTTTTCGTTTATTTCTTTTCACAAGGTTGACTTTGACATCGACACGACTGATTAAGATGACGCTTATTTGTTATCTTGTTGATCTTCACTGCTTTGGACTCTCGGATTGATTTGGATATGCGTTTTGCTATCGTAGATAATTTTCTCACATCACTTGACTCTGATTTGTGATCTGTCTTTGATATTTCAATAGTTTCATCCCCTTTTATGGTTCGTTTTCCGATGCAAATATATTTGTTCGTATATTTATTTTATTTGAGCATTAATTAATTTTTTAACATTTTCCTTTTATGGTCATTGTGTGATGTAAGTGGATAGTTTTTGTATTAATTGCTATCGAAAAATGTCATAATTATAATTTAATTTACGTTTATGGTTATGCTCGTAAATCTTCATTGTAATTCTATATATTTTTAATTTTTAATAAAATTAACGGCTTTCTATAAAAAAAAATCATTATCATTGAATTATATCATCAACACTATGTACAAAAGTATTCTTATTGGAACGGTAGAGAGCTATGAATTTACATAGTCAATTATTCACATCTGTACATACATTTAATTTATATTTCAGACAATTATAAGTGTCAAATAATTATGTACATGCCTACAGCCTACTTAAAATTGCTTGAAGTTGAGTGTTTTAAGTACATATAAGATATAGTGAGCGGTGAGGATGGTGGTTATCAAATAATTCATTGCATACACCTTATCAAACCCACGATCAGTCCGAATCAAAGGACTCAAATCAAACCACAACCATAATAATAATATCAGCCATTAATACTAAAATCGAAGCTAATTTTATTAACGAGAATGGTCAATCCTTTTATTTTAACGAAGCTAATTTTTGGAAAAACCGAAAAATCGTTAGTTTAAAATACTAAAATCCGACTATAAGGTATTATTTTATTAAGTCATTCGATTATAGAGTGTTGCTCTGTTGAGTTTTGACTATTAAAAGTTATAAAATAATTATCTGACTATTCATTATGTTCCAAACTCATCATTTTTTGTTAAAAATTGACGATATTCGAAGTTGAAAGTCAACTTGTTGGATGTGGTATGATAAAATTTGAACTCAAACTACTATCATATCGCAGTCATCATGTTAACGTCCAGCTTAAACAACCGTCGATTTTTTAACGAAAAAAGACGAGTCTGGAATATAATGAATAGTCGGGTGATCATTTTGTAACTTTTAATAGTCGAAAGACTTAACAAAATAACACTCCATTGTCGAAAGATCATTTTGTAATTTTTAATAGTCAATAAACTTAATAAAATAATATTCTTGTGTCCTTACCCAATTTTTTTTATGTCAGTATATGGGTATTATTTAATGGTGAATTTTCAGTTAAGTATAAAATTAAAATAAATACGAAAGTGAAAGAAAAACAAAATTCCGGCTCTGTTAACGCTATGACAGAGATTTAAATTACGATTGTAGTTACATTTTCGATCGTATGATATTTATCGTAAGTGCGGATGTAATATTGTTATTATAGTAATTACAAATATTACGGTCATATAACAACGGTAACGGAAGACACTGTTATCGCTATTTAAATCCCGCGTTCCGACAATTAATTTCTGCCGGTTTAACAAAAACTTCAAGCGAGTTGCCACGTTGAAGGGCTCACGAGCGGATCGCTGACCATTGAAATGGTTCTGATGAAATGGCCCACAAAACCTGGGACCGCATGCATCTCCTTTTCTCTTAAAAGTTAAAGGTTCCGAACTCCGAGTTAAAACGCCACTTCAGCCCAGATTTTTAATGATCCTTCGTTGACTTAACCACTTGTCACCCTCCCAGTCTTGTCATGAAACCAACGGCAAAATTAAATAGAAAAGAAAAATCTCGAATCAAAAGACTCAGTACCTTGTCATTCGATTGTTGGTTAATCAGTTTAAAACTCATCCCTTGCTTCACCTGAACACGGTTGCATGATACAGAAATAAAGATCAGAGAAGATCCCACGCAGCTTTACCATGGAGCTCAAAGTTTTATAGCAAATTCAAGGCCAATTCAGTTTTTTTTTAATTTTCCGTTTGGGGTCAAGTTTTCAGTAACCCTCGTTTTGATTGGTATTTTAAGGTGATGGGTTTGAAGTATAATGCTGGGTTAGGGTTGATTGGCACGGTTGTGTTTATATGGGTGTTATCTGCAGAGATAACACAGGTGTGTCGCTGCCTATTTATTATTATACTCTGTTTCAATTGATTGGCTCATTGATTTCTGAACCTATGATTCATGTTGGATAATTTGAAGATCAGATATTTCATTTGATTTGCCATTTTATTGGGAAAGTGAAAAGAATTTGTTCAATTTCTATCTTTGATGATCAAGTTTCAGCTAATCCTTATTACATGTTGTCGTTTGCAGACGATTTTCTCGGAATACAAACAGCCATTTGCACTCACTTATCTTGGAGTGTCCCTTATGGTTGTTTATTTACCCATTGCTGTTTTAAAGGATTGGATCTACAACTTGTTTAATGCAAATTTATCCAAAAACCTATACGATGGCAGCTTGGTAATTAACACTTCGATCGGACTCGATGTCCCTCTTAAAATCAATGAATTGCCCCACAGTGCGGAATCTGACCTTAAAAGATGCCTTATAACTGACACGGATCTTAGTGAAAGAGAAGAGGGGCAGCCTCTCGATTCGAGTTACGAGAAAGATGGACCTTACTTGCCTGAACATGGCAGCGGACCGAGTTCGTGGAACATCGCCGTGTGTAGCTTATATCTAGCTCCAATTTGGTTTATGACCGAGGTAACATAATTTTATCAGAATCATTAGTTATACCAGGAAGCTTGACTGAACATAGTTGCTGTGGTGTATTGCAGTATTTATCAAACTCTGCTCTGGCAAATACCAGTGTTGCAAGTACAACTGTCCTGACATCTACTTCGGGGCTCTTTACGCTTTTCTTTGGAGCTCTTCTCGGCCAGGACACTGTAAATGTTGCGAAAGTGGTGGCTGTATTTATTAGCATGACTGGTGTTGCTATGACCACAGTTGGAAAGACATGGGCGTCAGATGAAATGCTTACCGCCTCTGAGTACGTCCGGTCTTTCTTTGCTAGTTATTTCAATAACTTATTATCCTTTAATGCGCCTTTTTCGCGAATTGTTTCTTTTTAATGCATTGTTCATGGTGTCTAGAGCTAGAAGGCACTCCATAATGGGGGATATATTTGGCCTTCTGTCTGCAATTTCATATGGCTTGTTTACAGGTAGGTACTTTCTATGCATCTAAATCGAACACTGGCTCTTATCGATTTAATTTGGTGAGACTGTTTCTCTGTTCTCTGCTCTATTGCCACCTACTGATCAATTTATGCAGTTCTGCTCAAGAAATCTGCTGGATCAGGAGAGAAAGTCGATATGCAAAAGTTCTTTGGATTTGTCGGTCTCTTCACTCTTTTGGGACTTTGGTGGCTTGGTAAACAGTCCGTTAATCTCATTACATCCCAAGTAAATTTGAGCATAAAATGCTCATCTTCGATATTTCTGCCTACGATTTGCAGTGTGGCCACTTAATGCTGTTGGGATAGAACCTCCATTTGAATTTCCACATTCAGCATCCGTTGGCGAATTAGTGCTTGTTAACGGCTTTGTGGGAAGCGTCCTCTCAGACTACTTCTGGTATGTATATCAGCCTCGTTTCACTTTCGAACTAGTTGAATGCTACTAGAACTCGATGATGCTATCAAACCTTTCTCATTGCCTTAATCCATAACCAACAACAGTAGTCCGTATTGGGATTATTGCCCTGATAGCACGAAAAATCAATCCGATACGATGTAGTTCAAAAGTTTTGTTTAAGGATTTTAGTCATTTGAAAAAATTTGATGCAGGGCACTTTCCGTGGTTTGGACAACTCCATTAGTCGCAACATTGGGCATGTCATTGACAATACCACTAGCAATGATAGCTGACATGGTCATACACGGACGACACTTCTCCGCGGTCTACATCTTCGGGTGCATTCAGGTAGCTTAACCAGTATTATCTTTCATTTTATAAGGGCAAACCAACAAAAGGCTCCTTCGGTGCTGATTGAGCCTTCGAATTTCTCAAGCTTAAAAGCATGCATCACTCATCAGTATTGGAGCAGTTCTTTTAACCCGCTTCACCACATTCTCGGATGCAGGTATTTGCAGGTTTCGTTATAGCTAACGTGTCGGACAAGTTTACGAAGAAATCGGAGTTGTAGCGAGTCGTTTGTGAGTTTCGGGAGGGAGCCTAAACGTTTTAACTTTTTAAATGTAAACAATGAAACAATTGTAGGAGTCTGTACTCGAGCTACAAAGCATGAACAATAAGGAGCAGTCCATACTAACTTTGCACATGCTATAAACTATTGCGACAATGGAGGTGTTGAAAGTTGCTTCTTTTCCCTCCTGTAAGTGATTTTGTTGAAACAAACCGCCATCATCGCAAAGTTTTAAACTTTATCTGATTTTTTTAATAATAAAAAGGTTAAACACCCTAAAAAATATAATAATTCGCATCAAGACCCCCCAAAACAACGAAATTTCCGAATTGATCACCTCAAAATTGAACTAAACCGTGTTTAATGTAAACCATATGCTTCTACTTGTATGTACATTATCAACCAAAGATTTTCATCTAAGTTATTTATATTAGGTTTCCTCAAATTATGTCTAAACTTTAAATTGGATTTTAAGTTTTAAAATATTATAATTGAGTTATTCAATTATTAGTTTTTTTGATTTAATCAAAATTAATCTAACATAAAATGTCTGTTCAAATCTAAAATATATTATATCTAAAATTTTAAATACATATATACATATTATATAGACAGTTGAAATCTCACATATTAAAAATATGTCATACTATATTAGAATTTAATAAGATTATTACTTATCATTTATCATATATGGTATTAAAATCATGGGTAAACTATACCATTGACCACTCAACTATTTAACCCTTTTACTTTTACCACCGATCTTTCAATTTTGTCAATCATACCACCTAGCTATTTAATTATATTCAATCATACCACTAACCCTTAACATTTATTTTAATTTATTAAAATTAGGATCAAATTAATATAATATGTAAGTATCAATGACTGAATGTGTAATTATACCAAATATTTTAACTGCCACATCACCATTCCCATTAAATGTTAAGGGTTAGTGGTTTGATTTAATACAATTAAATAATTAGGTGGTATGATTGACAAAATTAAAAGATTGATGGTGAATGTAAAAGGGCTAAATAGTTGAGTCAATAGTATAGTTTACCCTAAAATTATCCATACAACAGTAGTAGTATAGTGTTTAAATTTTTGGGTAAACTACAAATTTAGTACCTAAATTATCAATTTTAATTTATTTTAATATTTAAACTTTCATTTTTTAATCATAATTAATATTTAGTTTTTGTTCCATTTTAGTACCGTCACTTAAAAACTTAACACGATTAGTATTTAAACTATCAGTTTCGACCTATTTTAGTACCTAAAATTTCATTTTTTTTTTCCGAAACTTAACGTTAAATTTTGAACATGATACTAAAATGAAACAAATACTAAACTTTAAGTATGATTTTGAAAAAACTGAAAGTATAGATACTAAAATGTATCAAAACTGATAGTTTAAGTATTAAACACATAATTTATCATAAATGTTTAATTATTTATTTTAAGCATATATTATACTAAATTTAAATTGATGTTTAATGTCCAAATTTAATATTTGATCGTTTAAAAATTCAATTAATTGAATTAAAATTGAAGGATGTTAAGTCACAATATAGGGCTGTCTAATGAATTAAACCTAAAGTAAAATAGAGGTGAAAATAAACAATAAAATACTAGAATCCAGCAGTCATGAGGTCAGATGCAATGAGAAGGTGCCGTACCGTAGGAGCCCAAGCCTAAGCCGAAACCAGAAATATTAACAGAAAAGAAAAAGGAAAGATGGAGAAAGGCAAAGGAGTTATGGGGTCCGGCCGAAGATGGGCCGTTGATTTCTCCGATAATTCCACCGCTCCTTTTTCTCGTGACATCCCCAATCCCCTCGGCTTCACTCGTGCCTCTGTGGATCAGGTTTCCCTTTTTTTTTGTTTTAATTTTCTTTAATAAATGCATTAACTTTCAATTTTTATTGGGTTTCACTTCGTATTTTGGCAGGACGACTCGACCGTGAGTCGCCAAAAGAAGGATGCCGAATCCAATTGGAAAGCTCAGGTACTTTTTGTTTTATTTTTCTCGGTACGAGAGAAGTAAGAAGATGCTTAATTAACGGTTGAAATTTATTTTCTAAATTGATCCCAAACTTCAAATCAGTTATAATTAATTTTCTTTTGGATCTTAAAGATTTGAATTTTTCAACTTTGTTGTGATTAAACCATGGACGTAGATGAAAATCAATGGATTACTTTCTAATGGATTGAAGTGAGAAATTACCATTGCAAGTCATGAATAAGCATAATGGATGTTTAGGGGAATCAGATTGAGTTTCAGCATCTGGGTTTTTTTTCCCGTTGCACCTAAGGGTGTTAGTTACTGGGGATGATTACCTGACATTCTCTAAAGGGTACGTATGATAATTGTTTCTGTGTTAGGGTCCTCGTTTACAATATTTATAGCCGATGCATGCTCAGAAATAACTTGCTAAGGTCTGTGGCGGAGCAGAAAGCTACTACCTGTGTTGTGATGAAGGGGTCATCAATGTTGTTCCTTTATTATATATGTGACCCTAAATCACTTCTGAGTTCAGTATGTATGTCAGAGTTTAGATTGCACTGAGTTGATAGTTAAAGAGGAGATAAAGGGAAGGCATGGAGGATGGAACATAGACGTCTTCCCTACGTGCATGATTGAGGGTTGGCATTTGGTTTAGGTCTAGTGATTGTCTGATGCATACTTGAAATACTATTTGAAGGCAAGATAGAGTATGTAACCCTAACCTTTTAGCTGGTTTAGGTGTTCCTTTAGGTAAGAGTTCACTTTTTGTGGTTGGTTTCATTAGGTAAAGGGAGAAATACATTAGTATAATAGATAACCTATCAAAATCTGTTATTTAAGATTATGTTTATTTTACTGTTGAACAGAAAGCATGGGAAGTGGCACAAGCACCATTCAAGAACTTGCTAATGATGGGCTTCATGATGTGGATGGCTGGAAATACAGTGCATCTCTTTAGCATTGGTATCACTTTTTCTGCACTTTGGCAGCCTATAAGTGCTCTTCAAGGTGTTGGGAAAGGTAAATGGCCTCTTACTACTAATCTTTCTCTTATCCTGTATTGTTACATTGTTGTTGCCTTTTGCTGTGTTCTTTGTTCTTCGTGATTTGTTCTATTTTGTTTTGAGTGGTTCAATTGTCAAAAGAGGAAAGAATGAGGTGCCTAAGAATAAAAGATGCTCTAACCAAGGATGAAATAGTTAACCCTTTATAATTATATGGTACTAAATTACTAATGAAGGCCACTTAAGCATTCAGAAGAAATCTATATGGTATGCTTCTATAGTAGCTCCATTGTTTTTGCTCCATATATGCTTGGGATGTTATGGTCAGCTATTTCCATTTCTAAGTTGATTCATCCAAATTTCACATTTTGCAGTTTTTGAGCCTTATAAAGACAGTAAAGTAGAACTTCTTGGACCTAAGTTGCTTTTCATTGCCCTTTACTTGGGTGGTTTAGCACTTGGTGTTTGGAAGGTGAGTTGCACTTTCATTTTCTTAAAGTTCCTAACGATTTTCCCCTGTGAAGATTATTGAGCATAAGGAAGGGAGCAAAACCTGAGTTATCTAATATTGTCCATTTTGTTTGCTTTTTTTTTTGGCAGCTCAACACTTTGGGTCTTCTTCCAACACATGCATCAGACTGGGTGTCATCCTTACCCCCTGCTCAGGTTGATCAGTTTACCCTTTTTCCTTTGTGCAAAGTTTATGTTCAGTTCTTTTTCTTATTTTTAGGGAAGGGACAGGATTAATGAAATATTTCATCTGATCAAGTAACATGTGATGCTATTGGATTTAGCAGATAAGCCATTTAATGCTATAACTGGTGTTCTATAAAGCCTTTTTAATAACTCTAGCTTTAAATTGATAACATTTTCAGGAGGTAGAGTATTCGGGCGGAGGCATTCCTCTATAATAACGTGTTTGTTCATCTTCGGTTCCATGATCAATTTATGGAGGTGGCGAGTGGACTTAAAGAAGGCTGATGGAACTTAAGAGTTTTGTTCTGTTTTCTTTTGCAGATGGAGAACACCACAGTTTTTATCTTAAACTTTATGAAACATGTCACATGACATGATTATGAGCAGGGTTTGTTTTATTTTGCGACTTGAGAATGGATCGACATAAAAAATCTAAAATTATGTTCGAGGTAGTATTTTTCTATTATTGGCAAAATTGGATTTTATTACAAAAGTGTAGTTTTCAAATGTTATAAATGAGGGTGAATTTGACTCACCGGAAACTCAATGGCGCATCCAAAAATATTTTAGGGTGGCCTAGTCGAGGCAAAAACCTTAGTGGATCTACAAGTAAAATTGTTTTGATGTGGTGTAATGCTTTATTCTTGTATTTCATTAGCTAGTGCCATTAGCATCCCATTGGTAGTAATGCACTAGCAAAACAGTGACAAAGTCTTGGGTGGCAAAGGACCAGAGACATGATCATAGTAAGCTTTTAATATTTCATTCTTTTTTTGCTTCCAGCTTAATCAAATATGAATAAAAAATAAATATATTAAAAAAGGGAAAATGGACCCAAAGGAAAAAGTAATGTATGAAAGTTTGAATGATAAGTGGTTAACTCATCAGTCTCTCGCCGTTGGGACATAAGACTCCAAGCTTTCACAATCTTCACTCACCACCCAATATAAAAGAAGTGTTGGTTGGCTTTTTACAGCCAATCAGGATTCCAAATTTCCAATCATTAATACCCATCACTAGCAAAAGATTCCAACTATAGTGATGCATTTCCCGCTACCTTTACTTATTATGGCATAGGGCAGGGATGAATCGGGTGTGGATGGGACAGTCGTCCCTTGAAAATTTAAAATTATCATAGATTTTATATTTTTTTTATGTATTTTTTATTAAAAAATATATTTTCGGCTTTTGAATTTTATAAATTCAAGTTCCCTTCCCTAACATAAAGTTTTGTTCGTCCTTGATGTCCAATGAAAACTAGCTAGTTTCCAAGCACATAATTGAGGACTTATTTGTTTAGTGTTCACACAACCAAGTTGAGAGACCCTACTGCTTGCA